TTTGATATGAGATTATTGTTAGATTTTGTATCTCAAATCAGTCATAAAAATCGTGTGCCTAAAAATTGCCAGCTCTCCCTTTTACCGGATACTTTTTGTTATTCATTCTGTTTTGAAATTCTTACCTATCAGTTAATGTATTCTTCATTTTCGGCCATATTGACAGAAAATTCTAAATGTACTTTATCTTATGTTTTTAGCAAATGCATATTTCAGAGTGTTGCCGTATTGCAGACCCTCCACCTGATTCAGCATCCCTCTGCCCTTATTGCGATGTGCCTCTTTCCAACAATTCTCTTGCTGCGTTCAAAGGTCATCTTCCCGATTGTCAACGCACCAGTATGTTCCCTTGTTTGCTGTGCAATGAATTAGTACATCGGCGACTGCTTTCGGAGCATGTACGCTTCTGTCGGCCGGAAAATGGCCTATCGCCTTTCCACCCGTCCCATGCTTCTTCATCGCAAAGTACAACTCGACAACGTACGGAAACGGTCACAGAAAGATCGGTTGTGGCCTCTATACTTATTGGGGGTGCACTTGTTATGGGCACGGGGCTTATGTATTTATGGAATAAGAAGCGTCGATGAGTGGATATTTACTTTGTTAAGAGTTAAATATCAACCATCATATTTTACAATCTTCCATTTTCGTGAAAAATACTATCATAATTTTTTTTTCTCATTTTACTTTGCTACTACTGATATGAAGGAAAAGATTGCTCCCTGTCATGATCATTGCCACAATCTTTGCATCCCTGCTGTGATGGCATTATCTTATTATCGTTTCGTTTGCTAGATACTTAGGCTCCATTTCAACATCTCATTTCTCAACCTTTTTATATGCTCACATCAAACAATTTATTAGGAAACGGACACTGGTTTTAGGGACATATTTTATTACCCGTATTATTTTTTTGAGGTTACTAAGCAGCTTCACATGTCTTGCTTTACATATTCACGCATCGTTCCCATTCATTCTCTGTTAAGACAAGTGCTAAGACCGACTATTTTTCATTAATGTCCGCTAAGGATCCATGCGTCTAGCGCATTAATTAGCAATGCTACGATACTCTTTTGGACAGAGTTTTTCTATGGGTCAAGCGCCACTTTCATCTCTCATTTCTTTTCTTTGTATCCATTTATTTTTTTTGCCTTGGTTAAAGATATTTCGCTATTATAACTTTCTGCTATTTTTGTGACAGTTAATTTATTTTAGAAGTATACTGTCATTTTATTGATTAAGAAAACTCAGCATTCTTATTTTCTATGAATCCAAATCTCTTGCTACCAGATGTTTACCTCACACTAAGCCTATCCATATTCATTCTAATCCATTTTGCAAAGAATTTATGAATTAATCTATCATCTTGCATCATGGGTCTAATTAAGGCTACATTTTGTCAGTTATACATATTGCTATTTCAAAGAGTATGTTATATCATTTCGAACTGTTCGGTTTTACATTGGTTACTTTTTAGCTATACTTATTCTCCAAGACTGTTCTTTTTCCAAGAGACGTTTTCTATGCACTTTCATAGTCTCTCTTTGTTCTTGAGTTTAAAACTTTCCTTTGGGATCTTACTTTCTATCAGAACTCATCTCAGGCTGCATTTGCGCTTACTGAAATAGTTACTTAAGTACAAGAATTAAATCTTATTTGTGTAATTAGGATTCTGGTATCGGTGAGCCTGAGGAGTTGATTCAGACCTTGCACAGTCTTTGAAAATTAAACGTGTTGCCCTACGGCCTGATTATCTAACTTCACTCAAGGATACTTTTTTGTGCTCTTGACAATTCTATCTATTTTTAATCTTTATTTGGAACCTCCGATACTCCAGGCCTCATAAGCTGAGTTTGGGTCTGATAGTTGAATATATCCCAATTAATTGAATACAGCTCAGATTGCCTCCGATGTTATCCTTTTTTGCTCATTTAACGCGAAAAGTGTGTATAACTTCTGAATTCACATGAATTTCCTTGTTTTTTTGCTTCCTATGTGGTGGGGTCTCAATTATATTTCATTAAAAAACTTAATAAACCATAATCTTGTCTTGTTTTCTTTGTGGTTCCTTATTACTGTTTTTGGTGTTTTCGTTTGTAGTGCTTAATTTGAGAGAATACACTCAACTTTTCCGGTCTCTTGGTACTATGAATTACGTACGACACACATGAAAACTTACAAGTTCGTAGATTGATGTGAAACTAATCAAACCAAATAATTCGGTCTCCTTTTACTCAGCCGTTGATGTTGTTATATATGGTAGGCAACGAAAAGCCTATTACTATTCCTGTTAGCTTCGGCTTAGCTTAGCAGTGAGGTCCAGCCCTTAATGTGTCTTCCAAGTGACAAAATAAATAAAGCAAAACATGTTCTCACTGTAAACAAAAGAGAATAGCTGATGCATTGCATCAACCTGAACTTCATGATAATCTCCAACGGTTGCAGGTATTCGTCATCGGTTTACAGTTGCTTCGACCTACGAATATCGGACAAGACAATAAATGGAAGGCACGAAATTTCCGGATTCGGCTCTAGCCTCCGCCTAGGTCTCGCGACCTAGGACAGCTCTCCATAAATGATGGTACAAATCAGTCTGCTCAAGCGCAATCGGCCTGCATGGGACATTTATC